AGAGCCCTGTTGTGTCACATCTGCCCCTATATTAAGCTCAGTTTGGGAATAATCTGAACGCCATTTCCATCACTATTTGGACGCTTTTAACCCAAATCTCAGGGCGTTTGGCGTTTTGACCGCAATTCTCACACAAACTTTTTTCTAAAAAGTTTTTAAAATTAGTTTTTTGTCGAAACAAATTTAGTTTTTGCGGTGAGTATTGAATGGATGAGACGGTGACCGCAGATAATGAGGACGAAATGGTTGCCATCAATGATGAGGCGGATGTGGATTCCGGTGACGACAAGGAAGAGGTGTCTAAATTAAAGCTGAAGGGCTCTTACCGTCAGAAGTATAAGAGGGCCTGGGAGTTGGACAACGAGCTCAGGGGTAGGTCCTGTCCAGCCCTTACACGGGTTGGACATCCATTTCATTTTGTATTCAATGAATCAAAACTTGTTAAATACTAAACCATTGGTTTTTACTATTGGTTTTTTGTTAAGACTATGGTATCGGGATTTTTGTCCAAAAACGTGGGATTATCTCATATTTGTCACTAAAATCCATAACTTTTCAAATGGTTTTTAGTGTTCACTTCATTGAACCTTATATTCAGATTCAATAAAAACTTTTATTTGATATTTATTTAGGAATTGTTATTGTAATTAGTATTTAAAAAATATTTTATTTTTCTAACATTTCATGTAATTTATAGATGAGTTGAGAAACGATAACAAAACAGTAAATGAAATAAAATGTTAAAATTCAACACTTTATGCAAAAGTTTAATTGCATTCACAAAACAGAGATTAACCGAAAATCGTATCAATAATTTGGACACAAAGTATTTGTTAAAAGGTTAACACAATCTCGTATAACATTAGCACAAAAGTTAATTACAAATTATGTTGACATTCAATGTTTGCGTTTATAATGAATGAACAAAACTATTTATATCACGTTCAATAATAATGGCAAAACTCACTGCATTTGGTTAATTAGATTGTAATTGAATTGAATTGATTGATAGACTGGTTGTCTCCGTTCACGGGTGACCCGTATTCAGCGTTTTGCAGGACCTGTCACTCAAAACTTCACGCCCACAAGAAGGGACTCTTAGCCCACGCGAAGTCATCCAAACATAAGAAACACTCATTGAATCCAGAGGTAAAGTGTGACCATAAGTGTGACCACAACTGGTCACCACTCGTATATCGCTATTTGTCTTGTATTTCTCAAAACCATATTTTTTACTGCGAAATGAATTGTTTTCACAATTTGTGGTTTAATTTTAGGAACCATTGAATACAGAGACCGGAGAAGTAGTTTTGTTTAAGAAAATCAAGAAAAC